AAACCTGAACTTTTAATTTATCACTTCGTTACAAATTTCTTCCGGATCAATCGTTATTTTTTATTAAAAAAAAACAAAAAATAAACAAATCCCGTTCAACCCATTAGCCTGACAAATCCGACAGATAAAAGTCACGAAAAATTTATCCGAAATGCCGGGAATCGATTTATAAAAAAAGTCATAAACTGATAAATATGTCTGGAACAACTCACCGTACACCGGTTGTGCCGTCATTAAAGGCCCCATAGCGTGACATGCGCAGAATCCGTCGGCTCCTCTTCCCTGTAAAACACGCAACATTTGATATTTCAGGCTTTGAATGAAAAAAAAAGAACGCCAGAATGAATGAGGGGCTTTAAAAAAAACGTTTTAAAGAGACAGTGCTATGAAAATTCAAAATCACTCGAGCTTATCGTATTCAATTCGATGTTTTATCGTTTGTTTCCGGGGGATTTTAAAAGCCCGGGCTTTTTAGTTTATCTCTCATGAAAGTCATTAAACGGATTATTGCTAATTCCTCGAAATTATGAGGCTGATCGTCAGTAAAAAAGATATTAAAACGGCAAAAATATCAGCTACAATGTTAAAGAAATCCCAAGACCTCTGACCCATGCTGAAAATATTAATTCCCGCTTCAATCCCAATAAATTTAATTATTAATTAACTAAAAACTGAACCATGAAAATTAATTTATTAATATATTTCCAATCTAGCAGACTAATCAATAAATTAATAAATCTATCAAAAAATAAATTGAGAATGGAGCGAGTGGAGAAGGTGTAAAACATATTTACTGTAACATCAAAGAAAAATAAAATAATAATTATTATTTATAATCGCTCTACGCGAATTCATTTTGCAACTTGATTTCTTGATTTCAATAGAATTCTTTTTAATTCGATAAAAAAATTGTAATGCACATAAATAAAATTATTATTATTATTATTAATAATTATAAATATTATTTCTCACCCCTAAGCAATCTTCGAAAATAAAAATGAGATTCGTTCCCCATATATTCACCTCCGAAAATGGCCGAGTGTAAGGAAAATGGTATTTGTGATTCAATAATCCCTCCGACAGATTCTCCCCTCATCGAGAATAAATTTCTCACTAACCACCTTGATAGTCCATTTTTCCAGGCAATCGTGTGTTTGATATAGCCCGAAGGGTCTACCCATCCACCTCCCAGAATCCCCTTACGCTGTGTCAACATGTCATCCCCGAGCCAACGAATCTGATACACATTGACACCGAGCCGGAGGCACCATTCCCACAAAATCCACCTCCATTCCGACCTCCATCTCACCGTATAATATGCACACAATTGCGACACGGAATATCAAAACACCAATGGTATCTGGAATCATCTGTCCTCTATAAGACGCCGGTAACAGCGCGCACCATTTGAATTTCCCGCCTTGAGCGCCGACCGGTGGATTGACCAATGAGGAGGGGCTTTCACTCGGACGAACTTCATTGTTGTTTTTCTGGTTCCATTCGTTGGATTTATTACTCATCGCTGATTATTCTCAGAAATCATGAAGTTTTCATGGAATTAATGACTAATTAATGAGTTTTCCCTAATCAATTTATCAACTACAAAAAAATCCACATTTCAATAAAAATACATAAGAATCAGAAAGGCGCAGAGGGAATTTGTTCTGATAGTTCTGATTAATAATTACAGTTTAAATTGGAGTTTCAGGCTAAACACCATTAATTTTTTGAATTGAGGCCATTGGCAGCGCGCGCCATTTGAATTTCCCGCCATGAGCGCCAACCAGCGGATTGACCAATGAGGAGGGGCTTTCACTCGGACGAACTTCAGTATTGTTTTTCTGGTTCCATTCGTTAGATTTATTACTAATCTCCAATTATTCCCAGAAATCATGAACTTTTCATGCAATTAATGACTAATTAATGAGTTTTCCCTAATGAATTTATCAACTACAAAAAAATCCACATTTCAATAAAAATACATAAGAATCAGAAAGGCGCAGAGGGAATTTGTTCTGATTAATAATTACAGTTTAAATTGGAGTTTCCCGCAAAAACCATGAATTTTTTGAATTGGCGTTGATTTTCACTGGAGCAACACCGGTGATTTCCTAAATGACTAGGCAATCAAGGAACACACAAAGTCTGTATCATGATTCGAAGGGAATATGCGTCGCGTCAATTTTCCAGGAGCCCAGCACGCGTAATAGCCCCGACGCGGTACGACGGCGCCAGGAAATTGCACGGCAATCATTTCCTCTCAAAACCCGATGGCTGAGAGCACCACCCGGGGGATACCAACACCCCTGTATCCTCATATTTTTTCCCCAGCACATTTTTAAACTCCATTTTTGCTTTTTCCAGTTTTTCATATCGATAACACGTGCGAGGAAAAACCAAAGGGGAAAACAAAAAAGGAAAAATCCACGGCGTCTGTCTCGTTTTCACCAGTGAAATGACATGATGAAAAAACGGAGAAATAGTGGCAAACAATATTTGCATATTGACTCGAATTTTCTCCATTTTTATATCGCCCCTTTCACCGGTATCTTTTATATTTTCCTTTTATTCCCTCGCGCGGTTTAATAAGACAGAAATTCCCATTTTCATTGAGCATAATTCCCCACTTTATCGTAATTTCCACGGAATAAAAAAATATTTTCAACTATCATAAATATTTAATTATATAAATCAACAAGAAAATCAGAAAATTGTCGGAAAAACGTTAACGTTAACTTTAAGGATGATAAAAATCCCAAGAAACTGCACAACTATTCCAACTTCCAAGTCTCATGAACAAATTTTCAGAGTAAATTCTTACCAACGTGTTAACGAAGTCAGATGTTTTCCCCGCCATTAACGTCGAAACAAATGGAGAATAACTTTATTCAAAATAATCTAGCTTGTCCACACCAATGGCTTTCCCATGTAAATTTTAACGATGAGAATAACGGAGTGAATGGCCCTCTCCCCCAAAAAATTCCATCATAATGAAACCCGAATGATTATGAAAATCCTCACATTAATTTTCATTCCATCCACGAAAAAGCCCCCGAAATACCGCCAAAACACGAACCAAGGGTGTGAGACACGATGATCCCTCTCCTTTATTTTTTATCTCCCAAGTCTCACAGCTTGGTACATTCAACTCAAAGAAATATCTTGATTACGTTTCACTCGGTACTGAACTTTCATTCCCCTCACACTTCCCTTTCATCCCTCACACTCTCGTTTTCTCGTACTAATCCCCGAGATACTCGAACGTAACTAGCAGGGAGAGAAGTCGTTTAATCTCGCGATTCATGGGAGACTGAGGGGTTGGAGAAGGAAGCCAGTCAACCAAGAAGTCAAGAAAAGAAGATACTTCCAGGGAATGGGGCAAATTGTACAACAGACAGCACCAGATGATACTACCTAGCCTTATTATGGAAGTAGAAACACAAAAATGAAGTTCGTCCGAGTTGAAATATCTCGAAATGCGAAGGACTAATTCCTGATTGGTCAACTCGAACCGCCAAATTCAAATTCGGCGCACGGGATGCGCAGTAGGTCTCGCCTTCTTTATTATGAAAGTAGAAACACAAAAATGAAGTTCGCCCAAATCGAAATATCTCGAAATGCGAAGGACTAATTCCTCATTGGTCAACTCGAACCGCCAATTTCAAATTCGGCGCACGGAATGCGCAGTAGTTCTCGTCCTTTTTATGAAAGTAGAAACACAAAAATGAAGTTCGTCCGAGTTGAAATATCTCGAAACGCGAATGACTAATTCCGCATTGGTCAACTCGAACCGCCAAATTCAAATTCGGCGCACGGGATGCGCAGTAGTTCTCGTCCTTTTTATGAAAGTAGAAACACAAAAATGAAGTTCGCCCAAATCGAAATATCTCGAAACGCGAATGACTAATTCCTCATTGGTCAACTCGAACCGCCAAATTCAAATTCGGCGCACGGGATGCGCAGTAGGTCTCGTCCTTATTATGAAAGTAGAAATACAAAAGTGAAGTTCGCCCAAATCGAAATATCTCGAAACACGAAGGACTAATTCCTCATTGGTCAACCCGAACCGCCAAATTCAAATTCGACGCACGGAGTGCGCAGTAGGTCTCATTTTTAAAATAAGAATGAGTAGGTCTCCTTTAAAAATTGACACCTCTGCTGATGCCTCTCATCTTCTCTATGAAATTCTGGATGATAAACTCAAGAAAAATATTGACGCAAACTTACAGGCAAAGTGATGTAAAGGGAATTTATTCACCAAATTGTTGAATTTTTGTTTTCCTCTTTTAAATAGCAGGAAATAGCTATTTAAAAAACAAAATTTAAAACCGAACCTTCCACTCCCTTCCCTCCCATTTAATTGATGAATTTCAGCCATTTTATTCTGTCAAATTCCTCATTGACATTGATATTCAAAAAATTCAAATCGGTGAAACTCTATTTAAACGCGTGTTAAATCACTTCAATTTCGAACTTTATATTTCAACTTCAAGGTCAACCGCAAACGGAAAGGGTTTTGGTAGCTAACTTGAACAATTAACCATCAAATTTTCAATAAAAACTGTTGAACAAAGATTTTACGATAAAACAACCTTAATAAAAATAAATAATTAATAAAAAAAAGACAAAAATTCTTAAAACCTAGAATGAATAAAGTCTAATTTTCCTCCTTGAAGATGGTATTGTTCTTCAACGAGTGCTCCCTTTAGTACAATTGGACTGTTTATAATTGTTGTCCTCATTTCTGGCCTAGCGCCCTTGATAGTGGAGAGGTCTCATAGGGTGAGGTTTAAAGGGTCGGAGGTTTGAGGTAAACTCCCCACGTGGCTCGAGAGTTAATACCAGGGGGTAAAAATACCATATGAAACGAGAAGAGAAAAATTAGTCTACCGTGGGGATCAGCCAGTGACATTTCCGGTGTGGTATAATGGAGCCTCTGGGCTTTTGTTCTTTCTCGATGGTAAGACAGCACCAAGAGCTAGACACTTGGTGATAAGGGGATGATAAGGGGGATGATAAGGGGGATGAGAGAGGGACACACTCGACAAAGTCTCGAGTGTAGTCAACTCAATCATCTGTCTAGGTTGAGCCAGAGAAAACCAGAGGAAGGGTAAAAAAGAAACATGTGGACGAAGGTGAGTCTAATCACGTGGATTTTCACGTGATAAAATAAAGAGGGTGAGTTTTGTACTCTTTGTTATTCAGAGCGTGAGCTTTCTCGAGTTTTACAGACGGTCCACCACCTGATCTCTCTTTTCTAGGAGTTGGAGTCAATTTTATGGAGGAATTCTCGAGTATTTTGGGATTATGCCAGTCCCCTTGGATCAGATTGATGACGACTAATGCCCAATTCATTCTCTACTCACCATCACCAGGAGAAGAAAGTCAAATTGTCGAATCGAACGGAAGAGTCACGTGATAATAAAATATCTGTAAATCCAGGTATAACCTCAAAACAAAACCTCACAAGTATGTAAAAAAAAATTAACTAATTTTATCAACTTGTTCCCAGTACCACCAAGCGTTCCTCATTTCTTCTGAACCATTCAGATGTCCTCTCTCCTCCTGGAATTTCTCAATCTCCTCTTATTTCATTCCTCCGTCCCAAATATAGTTAGGATTCAACATGTGAAAATTCTCCTTCTCATTGCAATTTAGGCGAGTAAACTCTGGCTGCAGAAAACAAAAACAAGAAGCCAAAAAAAAAAGAAATCAAAAAGGCAAAAAGGCAGTAAGGGAGAAGAAGAAGGAGAAGGAGAAGGAGAAGGAGAACAAGAGGCTCGAGTTTTAAACAGTGGGGAGTGAACAAACACACCTAGGGTTACAATCCTCATGAACGAGAGGTGAACAGAATGACAAGGACAGAATGAGTGAAGCAGAATGTTAAAACTCCTTCGACTACTGTGTCTCTTGCACTCGTGTCTTGAATAACTAACGTACATCTTATAGCTATCCTCCAGCAAACTGTACAACAGCTTAACTCAGTTTGCATAAACGCCCTCAGTAGCAAATGCACTTGATCTGACGCACGTAAGCCCTTCGACTTGTTCCAACAGTTTCCACGCAACTTTCTGGATTGTTTCCAATTTGATATGTTTCAAGACACACCAACTTTCAACCCCTACGGTGACATCGACTGGTGGTGAAGAATTCATTACCAAACTCGATCTAATTAACTAGATTAATTTCAAATGTAATCTTCTAATTTTTTATCTAATAAGTGGTAATAACTTCTCTGAAACTGGTCCATTCGTTTTCACAGTTTGCTATTGCATTTTATTATTCAATTACTAGCAATAATTATTGATCATTAATAGTTATAGCCATGCAGAAATTTGAGGGTGGAGGATCTAGAGGAGATGTATGTTCACACGATTTTTCAAGTTTGATTTTTAATTTTTTCGGATTTCAATTATTTTTTCAAGATATTTTCAAAAAATTTTGTAAATCTCTCGAGTTTCGTTTTTCACTCTCGTTGGGCAGATCTTTTCTATCGGGAATTTATCAAGCCACCACAAAAGTCCTGACGAATTTTTCCCCAGAATCGATAGTTCTCGAGATGAATTGATAATTAAAAAATCCAGAACAGACATTTCATTTTTTTTCAAATCCTCAACTTGAGAATAATTTTTAATTGTTGTGCCTCAGAAAGTAGTAAAAAACGTTAAGGACCGGATGGACTATCTATCGAGCGTCGACTTTTGTTTAAATTTTATCTTTTTAACTCAAAATACATTAAAATTTGGGATGAATTTTGTGTTGCGGGAAGCACTTGAATGGACATGAAAAAATAATGAAAAAAAAGAGGAAAAATTATTGAAGGGCGCTAAAGATCGATATTATTTAAAAGGGATTTACCAAGTTTGATAAAAAATAATAAAAAATACGTAGCTTACTATTGCATCTAGC